CAACCACTATGGAGAACAGTATGAAGGAAAGTAGGAATAAAATTACCATATGGCACAGCAGTCCCACTACTGGGCATATACCCTGAGAAAGACCATAACTCAAAAGACCACATGTACCCCAGTGTTCATTGCAGCACTATTTATAGTAGTCAGGACATGGAAGCAACCTAGATGTACATCAACAGATGAATGGACAAAGAAGTTTTGGTTCATATATACAATGGAATATTACTCAGCCTTAAAAAGGAATGAAATTGGGTCATTTGTACCGATGTGGATGGCCATAGACTGAGTCATACAGAATGAAGTAAGTCAGAAAGAGAAAAATAAATATCGCATATTAACACATATATATGAAATCTGGGGAAATGGTACAGATGAACCTATTTGCAGGGCAGGAATAGAGACATAGATGTATAGAACAGACTTATGGACACAGTAGGGGAAGTGGAAGGTGGGAGATGAATTGAGAGAATAGCATTGACATGAATGAATATGCATTGAATGAATGACATGCATGAATATGCATTGCCATGTGTGAAATAGATAGCTACAGGAAATAGCTGTATAGCACAAGGAGCCCAGCTCAGTGCTCTGTAATAACCTAGAGGAGTGGGATGCTGGGTGGTAGGGAGGGAGACTCACAAGGGAGGAGATATATGTGTACTTATAGCTGATTCATGTTGTTGTACAGAAGAAACTAACACAACATTGTAAAGCAATTATACTCCAGTTAGGAAATGTAAAAATTATACTCCATTCAAAAAAAAAATTATACTAAAAAAAAAAAAAAACTAAAAGCTTGTATGGTAGGGACAATGCCACGAAGAAAAGTGAGAACCCAACTCACAGAATGGGATAAAATGCAAATCATATATCTGATAAGTGTCTAAAGTATCCAGAATGTATAAAGAATTCTTACAACTCAATAATGAAGGAGAGATGATTTGATTTAAAAATCAAATGGGCAAAAAAATTCAATTGACATTTCTCCAAAGTAGATATATAAATGGCCAATAAGCATATGAAAAGAGACTCAACATCACTAATCTTTAAGGAACTGCAAATCAAAAATACAATGAAATGCCAGTTTATACCCATTAGGGTGGCTATAATTAAAAAGACTGACAACAAGTGTTGGTGACGATGTGGAGAAATTGGAACACTGCTGGTAGGAACATAAAATGAAGACATATTCACACAGAAACATGTTCTTGAATATTTATAATACCCAAGAAGTAGAAATAACTCAGATGTCCATCAACTGATGAGTGGGTTAACAAAATGTAGTATAGTCATACAATAGAATATTATTCAATTATAAAAATTTTATCTCAATAAAGCTGTAAAGTAGAAAGGAAAATGAAATAGATTCCCAGATAACCAAAGATTAAGAGAATTTATTGCTGTCAACTTGCCATATAAGAAGTATTAAAAGCTGTCCTTCACATTGAAAGGAAATGACACCAAATGAATGAATAATAACCACCTGTAGTGGTAGTTACATAGGTATATGTAAAAAGTGGTATAAATATGTATTTTTCTCTTTTGTTCACTTAACCTATTTAAAAGACAACTGCATAAGTCAATAGTTATAAAATTATGTGTTGGTTTTTGAATAACAGCATAATACACACGACAATAACAACACAGTGGAGGGAGAAAAGGAGAAAACTGTATTAGAGTATCATTTCTACCTTCTACTGGAATTACTTAGTACTAATTTGATGTGGTGTGTCAGTTAAGATGTATTTTGTAATCTACACAGCAACCATTATGAAAATAACTAAAATATAGTAAAAAAAATAATAATAATTAAAATGCTATACTGGAGAGTATTTAATGCAGTAGAAGGCAGTAAAAGAACAAACAAAAAAGCAAAAAAGGTATGAAACCTATAAATCTAAACATATCAACAACTATATCAAATGTAACTGGACTGAACATTCCTAGCAAAAGGCAGAGATTGTGAGATTTGATACAAAGCATGAGCTATCTACAGGAGATATACTTTGGATTGAAAGACACAAATAGGTTAAAAGACAAAGAATAGAAGAAAATATACCATGCAAGCAATAACCATATGAGATATAATAGCTGTACTAATATCAGACCAAATAGACTCTAAGACAAGTAATGTTCCAGTAGACGAATAAGAAAATTTTGTAGTAACAAAAGGGTCAATTCATCAGGAAAATATAATAATTATAAACATTTATTCCTAACAACAATGTCCCTAAATACATGAAGCAAAAACTGGTAGAATTTAAGAATGAAATAGACACTTCAACAATGATAGTTGAAGGCTTCAATGCCCTACTCTCAATAATGGCTAGAACACCTAGACAAACAGCAAAAATATGGAAGATTCATGAAACATCATCAACCAACCTGACCTGACCTGATAAAAATGATGAATATAGATCCTTCACACTATACACAAAAATGGATCATAGACTAAAATGTGATAGTTAAAAACTATCTAATTTACAGGAGAAATTTTTAATGATTTTGGGTTAGGCAAAGATTTCTTAGATACAATAGCCAAAGCAAAATCAACCTAAAAAAATAGATTTCATCCAAATACAAAATTTTTACACTTCAAAAGCCACCATTAAAAAACAGAAAAGACAAGCCACAGACTAGAGGAAATATTTACAAATCATGTATCTGATAAAGGGCTTATATCAGAATATATATAATGAACTCTTAAAACAGACAACTCAGTCTAAAAATGAATAAAAGATGTAAATAGACATTTCACCAGAGATGATATAGGGTTGTAATATAAGCACATGAAATGATTCTCATCTTCAGTAATCATTGAGGAGATGCAAATTTAAAACCATAATGAAACACCACTTCACTCAGCTGAAATGATTATAATAATTTAAAAAAAGACAATGACAAATGTAGGCCTGGCTGCAGAGAATTGGGATTCCTTCATACACTGATGGAAATTTAAAATGGTATAGCTACTTTGTACATTAGTTTGGCATTTTCTTAACAGGTTAAACATAAATATATAAATAGTCACTCAGTTGTATCCAACTCTTGTGACCCCATCGACTATAGCCCATCAGGCTCCTCTGGCCATGGGATTCTCCAGGCAAGAATACTGGAGTGTGTTGCCATTCCCTTCTCCAGGGAATCTTCCCAACCCAGATATCAAACTTGGGTTATCTGCATTGGCAGGCAGATTCTTGACTGTCTGAGCCACCAAGGAAGCCCATACAAATAACATATGACTCATTTATTTCACTCCTAGGTATCTGTTGAAAAAATAGGTCCACACAGACTTGCACATGAATGTTCAAAGAAATATTATTCATAGTAATCAAAAACTAGGAACAACTCAAGTATCTGTTAACTGGGAAGTGGATGTGATATGTCCATCAATAAAATATTACTCAGTAAAATAAAACTACTAATACATGCCAGAGCACTGAACCAACCTCAGAATCACTATGCTTCATGGCAGTGAAAATAATCAAAGAAGGAACGTTCATGGACTTACCATTGTAAAGCTGTCAGTTCTCAAATTGATCTGTAGATTTAACACAATTCCTATGGGCTTAATGCAAGGTTTTTTATGAATGAAGACAAACTTATTCTAGAATTTATGTGTAAACTTATATAGGCCCTTAAAATAGCTAAAACAATCTTGCAAAAAAGAAGTATAGGAATTACTCTACCTAATATTGTAGCCAAAATAATCAAGACTGGAGTTACTTGCAAAGGGATAAGCACATAAGTCAATGGAACAAAATTTAGAACCTAGAAATGAACAAGACAAGTATACACAAAAGTGTAAAAACAATTCAGTGGAGAAAGAAGGGATAGCCTTTCAACAAATGGTGCTGGAACAATCGGACATCGATAGGCCAAAGAAACAAACGCTTCAATCTGAACCTCACACATTATACAAAAATTAACTCAACCCTGTCTAAAGAAGGCAACCTAGGAACTTGTTTAGAAAACTGGGAATTTTTGAAGAAAGCATTAACCATTCTGTCTCTAGACTGCTGTTCTAATCTACAGATCCAGGACTTGAGTTGTCACATTTCCTGCTTCCAGCCAACCCTGCTCGCTTCAGACTGGCCCCCCATAATCGTAATTGGCAAGAGCCAATTCCTTAATACATATCTTGTTGCTCCTGTTTGTCCTGAATTCAGTGGTTTCTGTGTACTGGTAGACTCCTTGGTTTGTCTCAAGGCTGAAGTCAAGGGGAAATTCTCTCAGCACCAAGGACCTCTCTGTTCAGTCCTGAATGGATTTTCCCTCCAATTGCAGGGCCTGTGCCTATACTTGTGCCACTAAATGTATAAAGGTATATAGTTATACCACCTCCAGATTCTCATTGTTGAATATATTGTGCAGTGTTAAATACATTGCACCCTTAAAGCCATGTGTCCATTTTAAAAATCTGAAAAAAGGGCCGGCATATACTTGAGGTCAGTGTTTGGTGAATTTAATAAAATAAAAATGATCAGCACTTCTAGAAGTCTATCTTGAATGAATAATCAGAGATACAGATGAGATTTAAATATGTGAATATCTTCATAGTAATTTTATAATAAAAGAAAATGAATAGTATATTTTTAATATTATAAGAATATTTATATAAATTGATGAAACACATGAGGAACATGAAGTCATTTAAAATCATGTTTTTGACAAGTATTTAATGAATGAAAGGTTCTTATAATATTGAATGAAAAAAGCAAGATAGAATATTCTATATGTAGTATGAAAAAGAGAAAAAACTGAGATTTGAGATGCTAGGAAGAAAGAAGCCTAAACTTAACAGCAGTTATAAACATGAATGGTGCCTGTCTTCTCTACCATCTAGATGAAGTAACCAAAGGCAGAGATTCTTTTACTTTATTTCAGAACCTAGCTAGTATCTAGCCCATGGTAGGTTATACTTAGTTTATTAAGTGTCTGTGAAATGAGTAAATGAGCTTTTATCACTTAATAATGCTACTTTTATCTTCTAGATACATGGTTCAGTGGCCTGGCGGCCGAATCCTGCATCGCCATGAGCTAGACACCTTCCTGGCACAGGCAGTTTCTACTCAACTTTATGAACCAGATCAACTTCAAGAACTCAAGGTGATTTGAACTGTCCTCATTTATTTTATGAGCTCATAGCTCTATTTTAGATCTTTTTTTTCCTGTAGCTGGGAAGAAGAGTAAGTTCTGCAGGTAAATGTTTGATTTACTTTAGCCAAATATTTATGTCTATTAATAAACCCAACACTGCTTACATACTGATGGGTGAGAATGGGTAGAAAAAATGGTATTGTGTAAGACTGGTAAGTTGTAGCCAATAGATCACAGTAAGGTTTCCAACTCTTGCAGAAGATGCTACAGGGGACTTATCCTGGTGTTCCCTGTTTGTCTTTGAGTAAAGGTCTACCTTCTCTCCCTGGTGGCTCAGTGGTAAAGAATTCATCTGCAGTGCAGGAGGTGCAGGGGACACAGGTTCGATCCTTGGGATGGAAAGTTCCTCTGGAGGAGGAAATGGCAACCCACTCCAGTATTCTTGCCTGGAGAATTCCATGGACAGAGGAGCCCATGGGCTACAGTCCATCAGGTCGCAAAGAGTCAGACACAACTGAGCACACACACAATCCGATACTTGATTTACAATATTACATTAGTTTCAGGTGTTAGCACAGTGATTTGGTATTTTTGAAGATTATATTCCATTGTAGACTATTATAAGATAATGGATATAATTCCCTGTGCTACCCTCCTTTTTAAAAATAATACTTACTGAGTGTTAGAGGGAAGGCTAGACAAGCAAGAAGAAGCAAGTAAATCCAGCATAACTGAAGGCAATAGAATATAGTAGGTTAGAGAGTAGGCTCTGAAGCCAGGCTGCCTTGGCTTTGAATCTTAGCTCATTAGGTTGCTAACCTCTGTAGTTTCAGTTTCCTTACTTATAGTATTATAAGGATATTAAATAAAATAATCCATGCAAAACACTTAGAAGAGTGCCTAGCATGTTCTAAGTATACAGTACTCAATTAGGTATTAATGCAGGACACTCCTCTTATGACTTAAGTAGCTATGGTCCTTTGAGACCCTAGTATAAACTAGAAGAAAATCAAGTCTAGTAAGACTTAAAAATCTTGACGTGAGATCAACTAAGGAAAAGATGAAAACAGTCTTAGACAAACAGTGTTGGTTCCTTTCTACAGTAAATGTGATATTGCTTGGTACTAGAGCAGGTACTGACAACTCCACACCACACCTAGGAGGGGACCTGCATGTCTTAAAATTTTTTAGTAAATATTTTATCATATGGATGTATCATTTAATTATTCTTATTTTGGCCATTTGGTTTCCAGTTTTCACTTACTATATGTAATAATTAACATCTTTATATATTAGAGCCTTATTCACATCTCAACTTCCTTAGAATAGATTCCTAAAAGTAGAATTTCTGAGTCAACAAATGTGACCATTTTAAGGTTCATGATACATAAATACATACATATTTAATTTTAATATACATTGCTCAGTTTTATTTGAGTGTGCCATTTATTTCACCATATCCTCATCAGCATTGGATGTTCTTTTGATTTTTTGTCTTGTTTTAATTTTTTTTATTTGACAGGCAGAAAAATTGGTATCTCAAGTGGGTATCTTTTTAAGATTTGAAAGTTGATTTTTTTTTTTTTTTTTGTAATGAGTATCTTCGAAACCATCTCAGGGATAGAAATGGATAGAGGCTGCTTATGTACTCAAATGTCCATATTGAAAAGTAACATGTTCTCATTTACCTGGAATAATCAGCAAAACAGGAATAAGAGCAAATGTAACCAATAACAGCAATTTCTTAATGGTAGTTTTTCCTCTGTGGTGGTTTCAGATTGAGAAACTGGATGCTCGAGGGATCCAGCTTGCTGCCCTCTTCATGAGCGGAGTTGATACAGCCCTGTTTGCCAATGATGCCTGTGGCCAGCCAGTTCCTTGGGAGCACTGCTGCCCCTGGATTTACTTCGATGGCAAGCTGTTCCAGAGCAAGCTAATTAAAGCAGGCCGGGAGAGAGTATCCCTAGTTGAGCTCTGCGATGGCCAGGTACCAGCATGTTGGGTAGCTACTAAGATCAACTGTCATCTGCTGTGAAAGTGAATGGCGGAAAAGGGTAAAGGAGCAGACACTGGGGAAGGAGGTAGCAGAAGTGGGAGAATGTGTCTGACCTTAACCTAACTTGGTCAAGGATGGTCCCAAAGGCCCAGGGTCTATGTACATGTTACAAAATCATGTTGGGAAGAGTTTTGGTGGTTTTTTTTTTTTTTTTAATAATGGGCTTCAAGTTTTCATATTCCCTTTTTTTTGCTCTGAGTTATTTTTTCCCCATGGAATGAATGCTCAGATATACTATATGCCTTTCCCCTCATTCTTAGAATTTCATTTCACTTACTTACAAAAACTAAGTCATTTTTTCAAATGATATTTTTTGTAAAGAAACTAGTTTGGAAATAGAAGAGGGTAGTAAAATAGATGGCAGAGTAAAAGCAGGGGATACTTTTTGCAATAAAGCCTTGGGAAAGATGAAAGAAGGCAAGGGAAAGGAGCCCTTACTTTCTTCTTTGTCCATTTGTGGGGAATAAGCTGAGAAATTAGAGAAGAGGCCAGCAAACTACAGAAAGATTTTTTTTTAATTTGAATTTTTATTCCAATAAAACTTTTTGAAACATGGCCACATTCATTCATTCACATATTGTCCATGACTGCTTTCATACTACAATGGAGAGTCAGGTAGTTGTGACAGAAACAGTATGGCCTACAAAACCTATCTGGCCCTTTTCAGAACAAGTTTGCTGACCTCTTGACTAGAGGCATGGACTTCTCCTGGATAGAGGTTGTGGTCTCTGATCCTGAGTATGAGGGAGAAGGTTAAAAGGGTTTGTATGTGTCAAGTTTTGTTCTCTCTTTACGTAATTCTGTTACCTCCCGCTTAAAAAATAACCTAGCCTATTGCTGGCTATGTGATTGGCCATTACTAAATACTCATTGTTGTATTTGTCTTTCTTGACCTAATCATGGTGCTTCATAAGCACTTGGTCAGAACTTAATATGATGGTAGTTTGGCATCATGCAAAGAGTGGGAGCTTTGGTGTCAGGCAGGCTTCCCTGAGTATGTTACCTTGAGCCATTTAACTCCAGGCCATGATTCTGTTCGTGGGAATAGACTTGTGAGTTTGTACATAGACCACCCAATACTGTGCCTGAAACATAGGAGAAGTTTTAAAAATTGCAGCTGCTATTATTACTCTGTTCCTCATTTGAAGACTGACCTGGCAACCAAAGTGGAGAAGATGAGACAGAGCATACTTGAAGGAGTCAACATGAACCATCCACCACCGCCTTCTCTACTTCCATCACCTACCTTTGTGCCTCCCATGGTGCCCTCTCTCTACCCTGTTTCACTTTACCCCCGATCCATGGGCCCAATGCCACCTCCCCCTCAAGGAAGGAGCCGGGGATTTGCAGGTCAGTACCTAAAAATAAGGTGTTTGTCAGTGTCAATCTATTTCATAATAACCCATCCAGTAATTATTGCCAGTTATGGAATCAGCAGTTTCATATATATCTTATCTCATTTACCATCTGTGCTATAGTGTGGTTTGAAGAGTAGCTTATTGAAATGGAGGGGTGTATCCTGGGGAAGAAAGCCCAGTGACTTCCCAGACTACTCTCCATGGAAGTGATTAGTCCCTAAGGTTTTGACTTATGAAGTAACTGATGTAGAAACCAAGAGTCACATTTTACTTTTGAGAACTGCAGTTCATGTGAACTGGGTCTTCATGGTTGCCTGGTTAGCTCACTCATTCCCCATAGACAGGTGTACACAGGAGCTTGCAGGAAGAGCAGTGGGAAGTCAGTAAATGACTAGTGTCAGCAAACAACCATAGCTTGATATACTCATTTCCACTCTGAGAGTAAATCTAACACATTTCCAGAAGCATAGAGAGAAATAAGTCACAATCTGTACCCTCTAGGGGATTGCGTTTTAGTGAGGAAAGCAAATACATACACACACATATGGATCCTCATATACATATACTGGGTTAGCCAAAAAGTTCCTTCATTTTTAAAGTAAAAATAAAAGGGTCTTTCCATTTTCACCATGAACTTCATTGAACAAGGTATTCATTGTTTTGTTCCATTACCTTCTGCCATTTTTCAGGCAACTTCATAATTCCATCTTCCCAAAACTTTTTTTTTTTTTTTGCAAAGAATAGTTCCAGGTGTCTTTGATAGTCTTCCAAGGAATTGAAATTTTTTCCATTAAGAAAATTTTGTAAAGACTAAGATAAATGGAAATCTGAAGGTGCGGTGTCTGGTGAATATGGTGGATGAATCAGAACTTCCCAGCCAAGCTGTAACAGTTGTTGCCTGATCATCAAAGAAACATATAGTCTTGCACTATCCTGATGGAAGATTTTGCATTTTCTGTTGACTAATTCTGGATGCTTTTTATTGGGTGCTGCTTTCAGTTGGTCTAATTGGGAGCAGTACTTGTTGGAATTAATTGTTTGGTTTCCCAGAAGGAGTTCATAATAGAAGACACCCTTCCAATCCCACCATATACACAACGTCACATTCTTCAGATGAAGATTTGATGTGGTTGGTGGTAGTTCATTTCACTTACTGCATGATCTCTTCCATTCCACAGTATTGTCCAGTATCCACTTTTAATTATCCATCACAATGAAACATTTTCATTATGTTTAAGTAGAGAATCATAAGCAGAATTATAGTCAAGAAGGTTTTCCCTTAACATATGTGGAACCCTAACATCAAAGCGATGAACATAACCAAGCTGGTGCAAATGATTTTCAACATTTGATTTAAATATTTTGAGTATATCGGCTATCTCTCACATGGTGTAACATTGACTGTTCTCAATTAATGTCTCCGTTTGATCCCAATCAACTTCAAGTGGTCCACCTGATTCTGGCACATTGTTCAGTGAGAAATCTCTAGTACAAAACTTCTTAAACCACTTCTGATGTGTTCGATCAGTCACAGCACTTTCTCCATACACTGCACAGATCTTTTTTTTTTTTTGCATTTCAGTTGTGTTTTTACCTTTCTTTTTTAAATAAATGCACGCTGATATGACAGCTGTCACAATACAATCTAACAAAATTGTTTCAAATGAAGTTAAAGACAGCTAAGCACTACTAGAGCCATCTTACAGGAAAAAATAAACCTTTTGACCAACACAATATATACACACACATGTATGTATAAATTATGGTGATATCTGAACTGTGGCTTAATGACAAACATTCTTGCTTAGGTAGGTCAGGTACTGATCCTGATAATTCAAACAACCTTTTTTCCTGGTGAAGCAGTATTTTAATGGGGACATTTTAACATGAAATGTCAAGATTCTGTGATTGGGTGAGAGTGGTACGGTTGAAGTGTTTGTTGTGTATTGCTCATCACTTTAAAAATAGTAAAGCTTGGAAGTCGAAATTTGTCTTAAATTAAGGGTCACAAAATTCAGCATGGATGTTTTAGTTCAAGGATGTGCCTAGGTGAGCAGTGTAAATGTCTGCTCAGTTAGTTCACTCAGGCAATGACTAGGTCTCACAAACCAGGGAGCCAGCCCTTCATTCCATCCTTTGAACATGTTTTTACAGATGCCTGCTCTCATTCTTTACATGCTGATTTTATTGTGTCTCAGAAGATAGCTTTAATTAAGGCCAAGTTCTCAGAAGGTCCTCACCATTGTCCCAGCTCACAGTGATAAAACCTAGTCTCCAATTACTGGTGGCCCCCAAATGCAAGTCTTTCTTGCCCTCTTAGGATTGGCTAGTCACCTAGTTCCTTAGACTCCCATTTTTATATAAATGAGGGGCTCTTTGCTAACAACCTGCTAAGTGAGTGAAGAGTTATTAATATTTGGGTTTTTTTCATAAAATAAAGTTAAAGGCTTACTAGCATTCTCTGTTTTATGAAAGCTTTCTTTTGTGCCAAATTGCAGACCTGTACTCTGCTTGTGAGTTCACACAGAGTTGGAATTTCCTGTTTTAAGATGATATCATGCTATCTTGTCTTTAATTGGTTCTGGTTTTCAACTGTTGCTATTCTTACTTTGTAATCATAAATCACTGTTAGTTTGTTGTTGTTGTTCAATCGCTAAGTTGTGTCCAGCTCTTTGCGACCCCATGAATTGCAGCACACCAGACTTCCCTGTCCTTCACTGTCCCCCAGAGTTTGCTCAGACTCATGTCCATTGAGTCAGTGATGCCATCCAACCATCTCATTCTGTCTCCCCTTCTCCTGCCCTCAATCCTTCCCAGCATCAGGGTCTTTTCCAATGAGTTAGCTGTTCGCATCAGGTAGCCAGAGTATTGGAGCTTCAGCATAAGTCTTTCCAATGAATATTCAGGACTGATTTCCTTTAGGATTAACTGGTTTGATCTCCTTGCTGTCCAAGAAGAGACCCTCAAGAGTCTTCTCCAGCACAATTCGAAAGCATCAATTCTTCATTAAACTGTTAGTTTAGTTTCATTATTTTTTGTTCTGTTTGGTTATTTGACTAATCCTCCAGTGTGTAGTGACATGCATTTGAATCAAAAGTAGTTTTGGTCTGTTACATGAGGATGTATAAATTCATGTATCAGTTCAGTTCAGTTCAGTTGCTCAGTCGTGTCCAACTGTTTGCCACCCCATGGACTGCAGCATGCCAAGCCTCTCTGTAAATCACCAACTCCCAGAGTTTACTCAAACTCATGTCCATTGAGTCAGTGATGCCATCCAACAATCTCATCCTCTGTCGCCTCTTCTCCTCCCGCCTTCAGTCTTTCCCAGCATCAGGGTCTTTTCAAATGAGTTGATTCTTTGCATCAGGTGGCCAAAGTATTGGAGTTTCAGCTTTAACATCAGTCCTTCCAATGAATACTCAGGACTGATTTCCTTTAAGATGGACTGGTTGGATCTCCTTGCCATCTAAGGGACTCTCAAGAGTCTTCTCCAACACCACAGTTCAAAAGCATCAATTCTTCGGCGCTCAGCTTTCTTTATAGTCCAGCTCTCACATCCATACATGACTACTGGAAAAACCATAGCTTTGACTAGACGGACCTTTGTTGGCAAAGTAATGTCTTTGCTTTTTAATATCCTGTCTACGTTGGTCATAACTTTTCTCCCAAGGAGTAAGCGTCTTTTAATTTCATGGCTGCAGTCACCATCTGCAGTGATTTGGGAGCCCCAAAAAATAAAGTATGTCACTGTTTCCACTGTTTCTCCATCTATTTGCCATGAAGTGATGGGACTGGATGCCATGATCTTTGTTTTCTGAATGTTGAGCTTTAAGACAACTTTTTCACTCTCCTCTTTCACTTTCATCAAGAAGCTCTTTAGTTCTTCTTCACTCTCTGCCATAAGGGTGGTGTCATCTGCATATCTGAGGTTGTTGATATTTCTCCCGGAAATACATGTGTACAGGAAATAAATTCATTTCCTGCTTTAAAAAGGTAGTTTTGGCCTATAATTTTCCAATAGCTAGATCTTAAGACCTCATTCTCTCTCCACAAATATTGAATGCCTACAGTGTATAGGCTCTGTAGTTGAAAAATGAATCTGGCACACCCCACTTGCTAAAGTGGATGCATGTAGATTTTCAACCCCTTCTGAAATTTGCTTCCACCATGACCCTTTGTTGTTATCAGTCTTTTTATCATAGAGAAATGGAAAAATACATAGAGTAGGTGGGCTGTGGATCTTTTATTCCACCTCTTATCCTACCTTACACTTGCCATTCACTGCTGCCATTGTTCCTCTCTTTCTAGGACTCCATCCAATCCCACCCCAAGGAGGAAAACTGGAGATCGCTGGGATGGTTGTGGGCCAGTGGGCTGGCAGCAGATCCTCCAGGGGGCGAGGCTCCTTTGGCATGCAGGTGGTTTCTGTCGGTGGGCCAGGAAAGGGGTATGTATTTGAACAGGTTGGTATAAGCTAGTATCAATTAAGGTGCTCTTGGGAAAATGCCCAGCTATTGAACTCTTTTATTAAGGTAAGCGGCATGAACTAACTTTGCATTTTTAAAGCCAGTTTTCAGTTGAGTTCAGTAAACATATAATAAATGCCCTGCCTTGAAACAGTTTTTGCCCTAGAGGAGGACTTGGGACATGGGACAATTCAGTATAACGTAGAAGTGACAGAGATTTACACTGGTAACACAGAGGAGAGGCATCTAACCTAAGAGGGTCAAACTTGCTAGTGGAGGTGAGTAGTTAATTAAGTGAAAATGGAAGTGTGGGCTTTATGTGTTCCTTATGATTACTTTCCCCTCCCCCCCCTTTCTAAAGGCATGGAAAAGAACAGACTGGTAGAGGAGCCAAAGGACACAAAAAAGGAAATAAACAAGTAAGTACCTTTTTGAGATGATCTACCTCTTCTTGTTTTTGTTTGCAAGAGATCAGATCCGGCATGGAAACCTGGGAGCTTTCATAGCTTCTCCCAGCATTTGATTTCATCTGCCTACTCTCTAGCAGTCTGTTGAGGGTTAACCTGCCCAGGCTGTTCCCACAGGGCTGCAGAGTGTTATCCTTTTCCCTGAGTGAGGCCACAAAATAGAAACCTGGTACTGTGTCCTAAAGACCTGCATTTAGCAAAGCATTACTACATGAACCATAAAGAGGCCAAAGTGAAATTAACAGTGGGATTCCAACAGCACACCTCAGTTTCTGTGGTGCTACCAGAGATGCTTAAAAAATTGGACTTTTGCCTTTACTGATGATGGGAAAGGAAGAGGCACTGCCATTCTGCTTATTCTTGATGGTTCAGAATGGTCTGAAACTCACTGGTCTTCAAATTCACTGGTCCCCCATCCCCTGTAAAGATCCAAAATCTTGTACTGGCTTCAGACTGCTGGGCTCCTCATAGCATAGTAACTATCATTTCTTAAGTGCCTGCTTTCTCCAAAGCCCTCTACTAGACATTTTACATGTGGTTTCTAATCCTCACAAAGGTCATTGATGAGACCATACTGCAAGGCAATTTTATCATCAGTCCTCAATTCCAGCTCAGCTCTCATATATACAGCCAGCCCTCATTGCATCCTTGTTACTCCCATTTTCTAATGTTTTCTCAAGGAATACAAATTTGCTTTAGTGTTATTTTGAGTCCAACATGAAACTACAGCGATAAATCCCCTACACAACGTATTTTGTAATGTACTCCAAAGCCAGAAAGCAGTGACTTTGGGTTTTTCCAAAGCTTCTCAGCTTTTTCCAGAAACTGCTCAGTAAGGGAAAAGGGATTGCACTGTTCAGGAAAACAGATCACTCAGGTAGCCTCCCATAAGGTAATACCCTATAAGATAGTCCTCTCATAAGGTTGGAGACAGGAATGGCAACCCACTCCAGTATTCTTGCCTGGAAAATCCCATGGACAGAGGAGCCTGGTGGGCTACAGTCCATAGGGTCACAAAGAGTCAAACACAACTGAACACACATACATATACATGAGGTAGTACAGCCTTGATGAATTCACCATGATTCAGGGACTGATCAGTAAACATGTATACAGCCTTAAAAACTTGATATCTAAAAAAAAAAAACTTGATATCTTTGGTACAATCATAGTGGATCCATCTTTCAGTGGTTAGCTCACATTAACCAACATCACAGAAATAGCTTTGTGGATATGGCTAAAGGAGTGGGGGAGGGGACGAGAAGGGAGAAGGTGAAAGGTAAAGTACTAATTTACAGTGGAAAGAAATAATTATCACAATATGTTGTATACTTTTCCCTAGTCCCTCTTATAAATACATGTGTTTATTATTTCCATTTTAAACAGGAGAAAACTGAGGCTCAGAAGAATGCAGCATCTTGCCCAAAATGACCATCAAGTTAGTGTTAGAGTTGGCATTCCAGCTTGAGCTGACTGATTCCAAAACCCTGTACTATGCTAATTCTGATACAGTATAACAACTGTAATTGTTAGACAAGATTCAGACCTAGGCCTTGCCTGACTCTTGTATGCATGCTCTTAACCATGTCTAATCAGATCTTTATTTCTCTAAGAGCAAGCTGCCAAGGAGGCCATGGTATCAGAAGTTTGCCTGAGGGTGTGGAATCAGAACAGTAATATTAGCTAGCAATTATTGAGTTCTTACAGCATGCCGGACACCACCATGCTTTACATGGTGTGTGTCATTGAATCCTTATATGAACCTATGAAATAGATAATATTATTCTCTATGGTTTATGGATACTATTTGATATCTAGTTAATATATACTATTCAGTTCAGTCACTCAGTTGTGTCAGACTCTGCGACCCCATGGACTGCAGCATGCCAGGCTTCCCTGTGCATTACCAACTCCTGGAGCTTACTCAAACTCACGTCCATTGAGTCAGTGATACCATCCAACCATCTCATCCTCTGTCATATACTGTTATTCTCTTCTAGATGGGGAAACTAGGGGGAAAAAAGGGATAATCTTTTATCTTAAATTCCTCTTAGCTAAGATTTCTTGGGGTACTGTTATCTACTCTAGAGATAGCCTGGCCAAGGAAATCCTTACATTGACTTTGTTTGTAGCTAAGGCATCTTCCCATCTGAGATAATTAATTGTTCCAGTTTATTAAATCTTCCATTACAGTCCTATCTTCATGAGATTATTCCTAGGTCAGTGGAGTTTTGTGTATTCTCAAATTCTTCAGTCCCTTATTTGTTACATTTTTATTTCTTTGTTGACTCACATGGCTAATTCCTTCCATTACTAGTTTCATCTTATTTTCAGGTTCTTGAGAAGCACTTCACAGTAACCTCTATGTTGTATAGGTATTGGAGACAAATGATCTAGCTTTGAATCTGGCAGTGCCACTTACCAGTTTTGTAACTTTGGGCAAGTTACTTACCCTCTCTCTGCCCTAGTTCCCTCATCTATAAAAATGGAAGAATTGGCATCTACCTCAGAATTATTCTGAGTGTTAAATGAGATGATACATGTGAAGTATTTAACATAGAACCTGGTACATGGGAAGTGCTCAACAAAATTAGTAGTTATTATCTATAATGACCACATATTCAGTGGGCATTAGATTTCCATTATGTATTGCGTCAGTGGAAAGAACAATGTCTTTGGGATCAAACAGACTTGGATGCCAGTCTGAGCTTGCCAATGACCTTGAGCAAGTCATTTTACTTTTTTGAGCCTCATTTGTCTTTCTTATCTGTGAAACCAGCATCAGAATACCTGGCATGCCCAACCACTTAATAATCAGAAACTCTTATTATTCCTGATAATACTCATTGGGAGCCAGTACTGCACTTCAAGGTCATGCAGTTCATGACATTAGCATTTCAGGAGCAGTTACCATTGCTGAAATTAAAACCAAGTGATTGTTTTTAGTTATGAAAGATTCTGTGAAATATTGCACATAGATCTTATCGTTTGTTTTCTTTTCCTTTTATTTACAAACCCAGCTGTCAATATTGGACAGCGTTGCATGGAAGTTAAGAGAATAAACTTGAGAGGCTGACTGACCTGGAGTCGAATCCTGGCCCCACTACTTTCTACTTGTATCTCCTTGAGCAAGTTACTTTAATCTTTTTGAGCCTCAGCTTCCTCATCTGTAACTGGGATGTCATAATACCATATCAGGTCCCTTTTGGCATTTGAAAAAATACATTGTAAAACTTGGTAAATAGTAGCTGGGCCATTATTGTGTTGTTGTCATTGCCATTAGATTCGAGTTAGATCCTTTTGTTGTCACCCTAAGTTCTCCAGACAATGTCAGAGTGTACTAGGTGCTAACAAACATTGGGCTTTCTGGTGTTTTTGAAGAACTGAAGCAGTTCCACAGGCTAGCTTATCAACATGCTTGGGAAGGATCAGCCAATTTTAGGATTACCATTCCTACTGACTATCTCTGTTTTTGACAGAGCTTTTCAGATGGAGTTTCTAAATCCCTGGAGCCTCAACAAGGTCGGTCTCGCTCACAGGTAGATGGAAACAGTGGCACATTGATCAAGGAAGAGAAGAATGATCATCTTCCACCTCCATCACAGTGTGCCTTATCCAGAGACAGCAGTGTGTGTAATAACGGTAACCGGTACTTCCCCGGGAAGAATGGCGAGAAGAGCCGCTTACAAGAGCAAAAGCTAGGAACTGTGACACATCAGAAAGAGGAGTAACAAGCAAGAAGATGGCTTCAGCAGATCAGGAAGAGGGGAAAACCTATACTTCTCTGATTTTAGGCCTAAGTTAGAGGAAGACATGACATGCTTACCCTAGTTTTGTTCAGGATTTTGATGGGGGTATTCTTTTGTATCCATCTTTTCCCCTTCCCTGTCTTTTTCTGGGCTTCCAGACTCAGCAGTCTGTTTCTAGAGAAGCTCTGATCAAATATGAATGGCAACAAGACTAGTTCCTATTCTCAAATTGAATATATAGTGCCAATATTCTCTTTACCTCCCCTGGGAGGCCATTAAGGCACAGACTATTGGGTATCATCACGTAAGGACCTACAGAAAAGGTCTAGCTTTGGTTTTCTGAGTCTTTATTATGATGTTCATTTACAAAACCCATGGGATGGTGGATACAGCTACCTATGGCTTCCTAACTTGGTTTTTTCTTTATGAACTGGTAGGGCCTTCGTATATAATCAGTATCCACATCCTTCTAACTCTTTTCCCCACTCACCTATGCCAGGGATTTGTACTACCGCCTCTAGCTCTGGCCTGACAATCAGATAGGTAGATGTTTTCAGGGAAGTGAGGTAGTATTGGTTATTTTTTTTTATTCTTTTTTTAATTTTATACACCTAAAATAACTACCAATGGCCTTTGTACTGGGGGATTCAAGTGAGTCGAAAAAGTACTGGGCAGATTTTTCCTGCCTCTGAACTAAAGCATTATTTGTAAAATAGAAGATGTGGTGCAGTTCACCCACTCCCTGCTTCCCACTCCCTGCAAGGGTGGGAATCAATGTAATGAAGTGATGTTCTAAAGGGAACTCAAAAGACTGTGTGTGTGTGTGTGTGTCTGTGTGTGTGTGTGTCTGTGTGTGTGTGTGTGTGTCTGTGTACGGATGTTTGGGTGGATGTATATATGAATGTGTGTGTCTATATGCATACACATACCCTTTATATAAAGAGACAGATCTATTTATCTATACATATTTTATATATATATATTAATATATGTGTATGTATGTATATATAAATATATATATGTTGTATATATATATTTATATACATGCACACACATACATGATGATGTCCCAGAAGATTTACTGAATTTCCCAGAAATGCTTCCACTGCTATGGAGTGGTGGGTTTCAGAAGACCACATTTTAAAAATCCTTACTAAGTCGTAGCCCATCACAATTACGAGAAGATGGGCTTCTCTAAGCAGACAAAAAGTACTTTCCAGAGATTGCCTGTTCAGAACAACAAACAGTTGGGTTGTCACAAGCTTAATCTTGATCAGAGTCCTCACATCCCCTATCATAAAAACAGGAGGTTGGAGTAGGATTGGGAAGAGTTGGGCATTTTCTTATGAAGGAGCAGCCTGGTTGGGAAAGAGAAAGGGGATGGAAGGTAATTACCAGGGCTTGCAGCCAGTTTGGGGAGATCTCATCTGAAACTCTAGGATCAAACTGGCCTTAGGCTAGAATTGATTGCCATGAATCCCTGAAGGAGAGCAGGTAGGGAAGTGTGAGGAAACCGACAATTTGATTTTACATGCCTAGATTGTTTCATTTATTCATTGACATTTTGACTACTGGATCTTTTCATTTGCTTTGCAAGGAAGACTTCAGAGGACTCTGGCCTGGGCCAACAGGGGTATTCTATGAAAAGTTCCCAGCCCCCAAGTAAGATCAGAATCTGCCCAGGACAAAGAATCTGTTCCTCTTTGCCAGAGATACTCTTGAAACAGCCTTGCACTTCCAGTTTCCCTCCTCAGCAGCCTAAGTATGAGGGACGGGAACATGGCTTGCAACAGATTAGCATGTGTCTTCATTCAAGAATTGAGGCTTCTAGCCTCATACACCTCCTTTTGGGCTTTATGATATTCTTGCCCAAGAAGTACCATTTCTACAGGAACACAACTGACTAGACTTCTAGCAGGGTCCTCTCTCTTTTTAAAAAACCTCACACACCTTAACCCAGAGCAGGTCCTTGGTGACATTTTTCCAGACAACCAGAAAGCTGTTTGCTTACTGCCCACTTACAATGAGTGTATCATCATGAAAGATTGAAGATGCCTCAGACTGTTTTATCCTAGTCTGGCCCAGTTTAAGAGAACCCACAGTTTGCAGAGGTGGGGAGGTCTAGAATGCCTCTTCCCTTACCCAGATACTTCTTACATAAACCAGAGCAGGATGACAAGAATGCATACCCAGGCAAATGTAACCAATAATAGAGTGTACAAAAGCTTCCTCTATGGAATTGGCTCCCGTAGTTTTCCCCGCTCTTCTCCTAGCTGCCCAATCTTTTACAACGTCTTGACGGCTAGGACTTCTGTGTCCAGCAAGAGAAGGATTTAGTAGCGAACTTACATGACTTGGAAATTTTTTTCTGGAACCACAGAGGGAGGAATCCTTTGGAGCTCTAAAAGTAACCAGAATCACCGAGCTGTGTTAACTAGCTAGCTAGCTCCATTTTCTATTAGGAAGTACTTGGAGTTATATGGAAATGTATTTTCTTCAGTTGCTGTTTCTGTGAATCTTGAATCTATTTGATATGATCAAATGACAGTGTTGTTAACTCTCACAGCATTAAGAAGATTTATTATTTAGTAGGCATTCACTGTGAGAAGTAAAACTACTGTTTGACAGGGATGATTCCAGTTTGCCAAAAGGCTTGCTTTTCTCCCTTCCACACACCTCTAATTTATCCTAGCCTGGCCCAGGATGAAACAAGTGACTCACTTACAACTTTGATTTTTATTTAGTTTCAGAATTTTGGATTTGTAAGGTTACAAGAAAGAACTATAAAGGGTCATAGTCCTATATTTTATCTGCCAAGACATACAATTTAGAAGTCAGAAAGACTAAGGTTTATCACTGGAAGATTAACTTTTTCTAGTTTCAAGATCAACTTTTCTAATTTCTTTCAAATTCAGGAACTGAGTCTGCTCTTTGTTGTGAGTACCACTTGAAGAGACTGTCATCCTTCATTTGAGGTTCAATTTCTGACTATGATGTGGCCTTTCTTGAACAAAGTCATACATCATTTAGGAACCCCCAGAAATGACCCCTTTACTTTGTAGGGCCATAAGCAAAAGCACTCTGGATATATACAGCCACAGATCCTCAAGGACTTGCAGTTCTTGATTTCTGCTGGTGTATCTTGGGGTCAGCCTATAACTCCCACCTTTATTCAGTGGCCAGTCTAGTCTGGACCAGGCCTGATAAACTTCTGCTCACTTGTACCATTTTCATTCTAAGCCAGTAGGACTTTGGGTATACTTTAAAACCCAAGAAATGGCACTTGCTTTGGCTAGTGACATTTGATTTTTGTCTGCATCTTGATTTCCTGGCATCGTTGGCCAAGTCACATTAACTTGTTTTAATCACTGAGAAAAACAGTCATGTAAGGCATTAGAGAAGGTGGTTAAGAAGGGGCGTGGGGAATGAATGTTTATGTAGGGTAGAAAGAATGTGGAATTAACTGCTTGGCTATAGAGATCCAGTCCACTGGAACCTTAGAAGGCTTCTGTAAGCATGTCAGTGCTACCCTTTCAACCTTTAAGACTCCCCACCCCACATCAAAATGACAGTACAAGTAGACCACAGTTTAAAATAGCTAGTTAATTCTACTAAGGTTTAATCATTCTACTTGTTCAGTTCCTAATGCATATTTCCCAAATATGCTTGGGGTTTTGGGGGGTAAGTTCCCACTGTTCTATTGTGTGTCACCCTATATTTTTCTCTCTCTTGTGACTTTGGCACCTTCTTTTATTTGACTTTCCATTTGCTTTTCCCTTAGCTTATTGCTATAGTCTGCTGGTGCAGGTAGAGCTCAGTGTACCTATTCCCCTATTACTGCTAATTATCTTCAGGATTGTCAGAGGTTATTTTGCTGTTCTAAGAAAAGAACTTCATATTTTTTTTACAAAACATTTTTTCCAAGGTAAAAGCAAAATAAAATACCCCCTGTGCTAGGGTGTCCACTGCAGCTTTTGACATTGCCCTTGTACTTTTTTATAGATGCTCTCTTTGTCCGTGTTGGTAGTAACTGATGACTAGTGGATTTTCATGTAAATGAAACAAATTACACATTTCAGTTTTTATTAATCTTTCATAACCCTGCCAAAGCTGATGACGTAATTTTAGTTACTTCCCAGAAGACACTTCCTCATCCACCTTTTATTTTATTCTATTCTATTTCTAGAATAACATACTAGGTAAAGAAACTTTAACTACAAGGATTCATTGATTTTTAGTGCTCCCTGAAATAAATGATGTTATTGACAAAAGTAAAATCTTTCATTGTTTTTTCCTGTGTTAATATCTCTTCTCCTGTGCTCTTGACAGTGTGTTTAGTGGATGGATAATATGTATTTCTCTTCCAAATTCCCTGCCTTTTTTGGCCCACCTCACCACAAAAGCTCCATAGTTTATTAATGTAAGTTTGAATGGATGCTTCTTAGGGGAAACTGCAGGAGTTAAGGAAAGTGTTTCAGAAAGGAATGAAAATGTCTCAGGAGTTGTTCTGTGATGGAAATTGGTCTGGTGTTCTGTTAATGCTGATGGAAAGAAACTTACAGTGCTTAATAAAAGTCTATTCTTTTAGTTTAAAAATGTGAAATAATTTTGGGTGTGTGAAGTTTACTTTCTTCTCCCATTTCTGGACTTTTTTCTGTAAATGGAGGATATACTTGTCTCAATTCAGAAGTGTTACACAGAGACTTAAGAATCTGTTTGTAGTTGAACATTATGGCAAGAGAGCCAGTACAAGAATCATTAAAAGGAAGGGCATATATAGTTTCCTGCTGAACTTCTTTATTTGGATGTTCTAAAGGCACCTTTGACTTCACATTTCCCAAACTAAGCCTATCTTCTCTTCCAAAGCCTGCTTCTCTCCATGAGTGACACTACCTTCTACTCAATTGTCTATACCACAAACCAACCTGGGAATTATCCTTGATGCATGCCTTTCCCTCATTTCTCAAGTCCAGTTTGTGACA